GGGGGGGTCGGCGGCGGCGAAAACTGTGGGGTGGCGGCGCGCGGACGGAAAGGGGTCTAAAGGAGGACGAGGCCGATGTCGTTGGGCTGCATCTCGGCGCACTTCCAGTTGTAGAGGTAGTACTGGAGGTGGCCGTCGCCGATGCCGAACTTGAGCTCCTTGAGGAAGGCGTCGTTCTCCATGATGTTGAGCGCGTTGAAGACGTCCATGTCGACGCGCTTCGCGCAGACGAGCGCGTCGCGCATGAGGTCCTGCAGCGGCATGGACGTCGCGACGTTGTAGAAGGAGTAGGCCGCCTTGAGCGTCGAGTGCTTCTCGTGGCCGATGACCGTCGACGGCAGGTGGTAGAAGGAGCAGAGGTCCGTGACGTTCTTGGCCGCGGTGCCGTCGTCGACGACAAAGCTGTCGATGACGCCCGGCCGCGGGAGGACCCAGTGCGCGAACTCGTCGACGTCCAGCTTCGGCGCCAGGGCGAACTTGGACAGGTAGTTGGAGAGGAGGGCGTGGGCCTGGGGCACGTCGTCCGGGGTCATCGCGCGGAGCCGGCCGCAGACGGGCCGGTCGGGCAGCTTGTAGAGCTTGATCGTCCGCGCCATCGTCATGCGGGGCATGAGCCGGGAGAAGCCGATCTCGATGAGCTTCTTCGGGTCCAGGGACCGGTGGTAGTAGCGGCAGGACGCCACGGGCTTGGGCAGCACGACGCCGGCCGTGTAGACGGCCTGGAAGACGCCCTTCAAGTTCACGCGGCGCGTGATCTCCTTGATGAGCACGGGCGCGAGGCGCTTCGTGCGGAGCCGCTTGTGGACGCAGAGGTAGTTGATCTCGACGACGCGCACGGGCTTGCCGCGGACGACGGCCGTCGCCGGCACGCCCGTGATGAAGGCCATGAGCTTGGACCCGGACCGCTCGTTGCGGACGCCGAGGTGGAACGACGTGTCGTAGTTCGGCGGCGTCAAAGCCCACTCGAGGAAGGGCATGGAGTAGTCGAAGCGGAACATGGCGTCGTCGTCCTCGACGTAGTTCTCGTTGAGCAGCGTGTAGATCTCCTTGAGGATGTCCTCGGACGTGACGTCGAGGTCGGACCACGCGAAGCCCTCGGGCATCTTGAAGGGCTCCTGGCGCAGCGCGCTCGAGGGCTTGTTCGGCTCGATGACGTCGTTGACGTCGACGTCGCTGATGGACTCGCCGAGCTTGGGCACGGGCTGCGTGTCCCAGAACTTGTGCACGCCGCTCGCGTCGTCGCCGCCCTTGGCCGCCGCCGGCGTGCTGCTGCTCGCGCCGAGGGACCCGGACTGGCGCATCTGCTCCACGAGCTGGAGCACGTCCTCGCGCGAGCCCGCCCGCGACGACCCCTGCTCGCCGTCGCCGGCGGCCTGGGCGTCGGGCGCCGGCGCCGGGGCGGCGGCGTCCTTGGCGGCGGCCTTCTTCTTGTTGCGCTTCTTCTTCGACGCCGACGGCGCCGCGGCCTCGGGATTCGCGTCCACCTGGTCGACGAGCTCCGCCATGGTTGTTGCTAGCTTGTGCGAGCGTGGACGGCGTGCAGCGGCAGCGGCGTGTGTGCGACGCTCGGCGAGTTTGGGCACAGCAACACTGGCCTAAGACGGCAATATGCCCCAATTGGCCAAAGCTGCCCTGGCGCCGCGGCTGCCCCTGCTCCAAGCTTGGACACGGGGTGTGGTGGAGCTCCCGAAGTCATGGCGTCGATGGTCGACGAGACGGAAAAGCGGCGGCGGTCCATGGACGCGCTGGACCTCGCGCCCGCGCAGATGAAAAACATCGCCGCGGCGCCCGGCGCCCCGAGCCCCGGGACCCTGGCCCCCTCCATGCGCGTCCGCCGGCGCCCCGCATCTTTTCGCCCCGCCGCGCCTTCTTTTTCACCCCCCGCCCCCGCGCCGCAGCCCGTCCCTCGACGACCGCCACCTCACGTGCCGCCGGTCCAAGCTCGTGCGGCCGCGGCGGCAGGCCAAGTCGCGGCGCTACGAGGGCGCCGTCGCGGACCGCGACGCCAAACACGACTTCGCGGAGTTCGAGACGCGGCGGCCGCAGCCGGCGCCGACGCTCGAGATCCGCGTCCACGCCCACGCGCCCGACGCCGACGCCAAGGGCACGCCGCCCGCGGGCGCGGCCGCCGCGCGGACGCGCGACTGGAGCTCGGGCGGAGGCAAGAAGGGCAAGGCGCGCAAGTCCGCGTCGACGCCGCCCATGCCCCTCGAGCGCGTCGTCGTGCTCGACGAGGTCGGCGCGGAGGACGCGCCCGTCTGCGGCATCAACCTCGGGCCCTTTCTGAGCTGGCTCAACTGCATGCCCGCGATCCCGGAGGAGCGCGCGGAGGAGGAGGACTACGACCCCACGGCCACCTGGACCTTCGAGACGCCGAGCAAGTGAGCCCCCCCCGTTTCTACAGCGGGAGCGATGTACGACACAAGGTTCAAGGGGTCGTTTCGGGGGGGAGGGGGCGGAGTTCACATGTCCTCCTCCTGGAGCTCGTCCATGACGTTCTGGCAGTAGCAGGTCGGGAGGTCGATGCCGAGGACGGACTTGCCCGCGTCGTCGGTCTCGACGACGCGGCAGACGCCGAGGCGGATGGCGTTGCCCGTGCGCTTCTGGATGATGGCCTCGGCCTTGCGCATGGACACGAGCAGCGAGCCCTGGAGCACGTGCTTCTGCTGCGTGCGCTTACCGACCTGGCACTTGGCCCCGTGCTTGCACTTGGGCCCGTGGGAGCAGTGCTTGTCGCCGTTGTCGTAGAGGGCCTTCCACTCCTTCTTGACGTCGGCCGCGTCGATTTTGCCGTAGCGCTGGAGCAGGTCGACCTTCTGCATCTGCGAGATGCCCGTGTTCGGGCGGTAGACGCGGATCGTGCCGCTCGTGTCGCCGGCCGTGTAGGTCTTGCCGACGATGGCGAGGGCGACGTAGTGCTTCTTGGTCGCGGGGTTCGGGATGTTCGACCGGTAGAAGCCCGCGACCTCCGCGCGGCCGCGGAGGCTGCGCATGTCCGTGAAGGCGTTGCGGCCCCGGTGCTGCGCCTGGGCCTCCTTGGCGGCCTTCTCGTGGGCCGCGTCCTCCGTCGCGGACGCGAGGACGGCGAGCGCCTCGTCCCAGGGGATGCCGCGGTCGACCTCGACGTTGAGGTGCACGAGCTCGCCGCGCGTCGACGTCTCCGCCTGGAGCACGGTCTCGTCCGTGATCTCGACGCGGTGGCCCTTGACCTCGGCGATGGCCTCGTCGTACTTGCCCTCGCGGCGCGCGACGCGGACGTGGTGGTCGACGAGCTTGGAGAAGTAGTCGAAGATGAGGTTCTGGCGCACGAGCGTGAGGCCCAGGAGGCGGTTGAGGAAGACGCCGACGGACGCCTTCTTCTCCGTGTCCAGCGACGCGTCGATGCCCACGGACTTGAACCAGACGCCGACGGCGTGCGGGAAGTCGATCTCCGTCATCGCCTTCTTCGCGGCCTTCCACTGGGCCGCGTCGGGCCCGGCGTCCGTCGCGTGGCAGTGGTCGTCCCACTTGGGGCAGTCGGCGACGGGCACGTCGCAGACGAAGCAGTAGCATTTCGCGCACGCGTCGTTGCGGTGGTCCGTGGACCCGAAGGGGTGGTTCGCGCAGTGGCACCGCGCGTGGGGGAAGTCGCCGAGGTCGCCGACCTTGGTCTCGCCCATGACGCAGTCGTCGTCGTCGTCCGCGTCGTCCTGGGACGCGACCTTGAGGTCGTCCGCGTCGTCCGCGGGCGCGGGCGAGTTCGACCGGTCGCCGACGTCGCAGAACGAGAACGCGACCAACTCCGGGTCCGCGCCGCCGCCGGAGAAGATCGTGCCGTCCTTGGAGAAGGCCTGCATGAGCTCGTCCTTCTCGTCCTTGGGCAGCGTCGGCAGCGTGAAGGGCGAGTTCGCCGCGCGGACGACGACGCGCATGAGCGTGGCGAGCGCCTGGCGGCCCCACTTCGTGTCGAAGTTGAAGGACTGGAGCCCGAGGCCCTTGGCGCCGACGGTGGCGCGCCGGTCGCCCTGGGTCAGCGCGCCTAAAGACTCGAGGCGCCGCGCGACGGCGCACGCGAAGCGCTTCTCGCCGCCGACGGACGAGATGAGGAACTTGTACTCGGGCGCGGAGGACTGGTTCGACCGGTGGGACCGGCCGAGCTGCTGGATGGCCTTGTCCGCGGACCAGGGCAGCTCGAGCGTGAGGTGCACGCGGCGCCGCTGGTTCGGGATGCGCCGGTCCGCCTGGAGCGAGATGCCCGCGGACGCGGCCTCGGAGATGATGGCCACAAGCTTCTCGCCGTCGCAGAAGCACTTCTTCTCGTGCATGTTCTGCATCTCGAGCGAGATGCCGTTCGCGTTGCGGTGCTCGTAGACGACCTTGCCCGCGTCGTTGCGGATCATGCGGCCCTTGCGGCCCGTGAGCTCCGCGACCGCGCCGCTGCCGCCGAGCTCGGCGATGAGCGTGTCGAGCGGGTTGCCGGGCAGGCCCAGGGCCGCCGACGCCGCGAGGAACCGCCGCCGGATCTCGCGGATCTTCGCGTACTCCTCGTCGTCGCCGCCCATGGCCTCGTCGTCGTCGTCGTCCTCCTCCTCGTCCATCGCGGGCGCGTCGCGCGTCTTCGCCTTCTTCTTCGGCCCGCGCTTCGTCGCCTTCTTCGGCGCGTAGAGGTCGATGTCCGAGTCGTCGTCGTCGTCCTCCTCGTCCTCGTCCTCGGACTCGGACTCGTCGAACGCCGACTCCTCGTCGTCCGACTCGGACTTGCGCTTCTTCGCGCGCGGCGCCGCGGCCTTGGGCGCCGCGGCCGGCGGGTTCGGCGCCGGCGCCTCGTCGTCGTCGTCGTCGTCGTCGGACGCCATGTCGTAGACGATCATCTTCTGGAGCTGCGCGACGGTGAACTTGGCCGTCGCGCCGGACTCGCGGAACTTGACGACGTAGAAGGGCGCCTCGCGGCCGACGACCGTGCCCGCGCGGAGCGCGCCGTTGGCGCGCTTCTGCTGGACCGTCGTCTTGCCGAGGGTCACGCCGTCGCGGCGCGCGGCCTTGTCGTCGTCGTCGTCGTCGTCGGAGCCGCCGTCGCTGTCCTCGTTGTAGGAGACCTTGCGCGACCCCGCGGCACGGCGCGCGACGCCGCGCACCGTGCGCCCGAGGGGCGCCTCCTCGCGCGTGGCCCGCGCGGCGCCGCCGAGCTGCGCGGCCTCGCGCTTCGCGGCGGCCGCGGCGTCGCGGCGCGCGTCGTCCGGGCACGCGAAGACCTTGCGCACGAAGCGGTCGAGGGTCGCGCGGGGCGCGGAGACGAAGTCGTCCATGACGTCGCCGTACTCCTCGATGGCGTCCTTGGTCCGCGCCTCGCCCGTCGACTGGAGCCCGATGACGACGCACTTGCCGTCCGCGAGCGCGCTCTTGGCGACGTCGATGACGGCGGGCACCTTGGACGCGACGCAGAGGTCCTTGAAGAAGCGCTGGTGGGCGCCCCAGAAGTAGCGCCAGAGCATGCCGTGGCCGCGGCGCGCCTTCTTGCCCTCGGCCAAATCCTCCTCGGAGACCGCGAACGGGTCCGCGAGCTCGCCGGCCCTTAACATCTCCTCCATGACGCGCTTGAGCACGTCCCAGAGCTCGGCGGCGCGGTCGTAGACCTTCTCGACGTGGACGTTCATGATGCCGTCCATGAGCTCGAACGTGCAGTTCTTGAACGACAGCGCGCGGCACACCAACGCGCCGCGCTGCTTCAGGTGCATGGCCACGAGCTCCATCATGCCGACGCCGCGCTTGTCCACCTCCGTGAGGAAGGACCGGAACGACGCGAAGGGGCACGCGTCGCCGCCCCAGAGCCCGAGGCGGTCCATGTAGCCCAGGTGGCGCGGCTCCGACGCGCCCGTCGCGGAGCAGTAGACGACGCGCGCGTCCGGCAGGGACGTCTGGAGCTCCATGACCGCCTGGCCGACCTTGGTCGGCTTGCCGCCGCCGGAGCCGCCGAAGAGGTTCTTCGCCTTGTGCGACTCGTCGAACAACAAACACCCGCCGAAGCTCGCGCGGCCGCACCACGCGAGGATCTGGTCGAGGCGCCGCTGGGGCTTCTTGCCCTTGCGCGCCGCGATGAGGGCGCTGTAGGTGCAGAAGATGACGCCCTTCTTCTCCTTCAGGGTGCCGTAGTCGCACTTGTTGAGCGGGATCACGGGGATGTGCGCGCAGCCCAGATCCCGGAGGTCGCGCTCCGCGTCGAACTTGAGGTCGTTGGACACGGAGACCCAGAGGTGGCGCTCGACGCCCTCGTTCCAGTGCTGCGCGATGATGCCCGCGAGCTGGCGGCCCTTGCCCATGCCCGCGCCGTCGCCGATGAAGAAGCCGCAGCGCGCGCCGCTCTCGAGCCGCATGTCGAAGCGCTGCCGCGCGTACCTGGGGGAGAGAGTGGGGTTGGCGTGTGGGGGGTCTTGTAGGGGCGCGCGGGGTTCCGGTTCGGGGGTCTGGGGGTGCGAACCCGCGCGCGGCGCGCGAAGCGTCGACGCTTCCGGGTCGAGCGTCGACGCTTCCGGGGACGCGTCGACGGTGCCCGCGGATTTTTTCCCCCGCGGCGCGCCTCCCCGGGAATGACCAGGACGCGGCGGCGCACGCGACGCTCTCGAGCTGGAGGGCGCTGAGCTTGCCCTGGGCGATGATGGAAGCGTCGAGGTTCGCCAGGACGTCGCCGCCGAGGTCCGGGGGCCGCACGGCCGACAGCGACGCGTTCTCGACGACGGGGTCCGGGTGCGCGAGGCCGCCCCGGAGCTTGAGCGGCTGGTAGTCGGAGAACTGGACGTCGTCCGTCGCGTCCTCGCCGCCCTCGCCCGCGTCGGCCTCGGCCTCGGCCGCCGCGAGCTTCTTCTTCTCCGCCTCGGCCTCGGCGCGCTTGCGCTGCTCCTCGCGCTCCTTGCGCTGCTTCTCGCGGTCCTCCATGTACTTGCGGTAGAAGTCCGAGTCCATGTAGTTCGGGCGGTTGGTCGTCGAGACGAACGGTTTGCGGTCAGCCATGATCGCTGCTGCGTCGGAAGCGCTTGTTCTTCGAGAGATGCGGGCGCTGCGCACGGCGAGGAGGCGCGACAGGGAGATGCCCCGCGGTGCGGAGGCGCGCGCGCGTGTCCTGTGTGCAGACGAGGCTGGTGCACGACCCCGCGGATGACCGAGGAGCTGGTCGAGGTTTAATTTCCTGACTCGATCGACAACAACGGCTCGTTGACCATGTGTTGACCCCAGGTTGCCCTTGGCCGAGCATGGACGCTCCTGCAGCTGAGCAGCTCGCGCCGCTGCGCTCTTGAGCGGCTATTCCCGACAGTGCCTGCTCGCTTGTTCGTGCTGCAGCTCACGACGACGGCATCGCTGCGCCTCGCAATGCCTCGAACTTCGCTCTTGCTCGTGCTTCTGCACCAGACCGCATCGCTGCGCCTCAGCTGGCTCGGCATCAACGCGCTGGAGCTCCACTACTCCGCCGGCACGCGCGTGCTCGTCGACCCCATCCTCGCCGGGCCGCTCGTCTTCTTCGACCGGCCCGGCGCGTACCGCGCGACGCCGCGCGACGGCGGCGCGGCCGCGGCGGCGCGGCGACGAGTGCTCGCCTCGCCGCCGTACGACGCGCTGCTCGTCACGCAGGGCTGGGAGGACCACGCGCACCCGGAGACGCTCGAGCTCGTCGCGGCGTCGCGGCTCCTGAAGCCCGACGCGCTCGTCGTCGCGCCGCCGTCCGCCGCGGAAGCCGTTGAAAGCGCACTGGGCGCCGCCGCGACGCTGCGCCACGGCGAGTCCGCGGCGCGCGGCCCGCTGCGCGTCGAGGCCTTCCCGGGCGCGCTCACGGGCCCGCCCTGGGCGACGCGCCAGAACGGCCTCCTCATCTCCCACGACGGCGAGCCGGGCCTCTTCGTCGAGCCCCACGGCGACCTCGGCGGCTGCTCCGACGCGTTCCTGCGGGGCGCCGCGCCGCGCGTCGACGCGTTGGTCATGCCCGACCGGTCGCAGACGCTCCTCGGCTACGACCTCGTCCGCTCCTCCACGACGGCGCGCGCCGCGCGGCTCCTGGAGCCGTCGGCGGTCGTGCCCCTCCGCAACGGCGACGTCGACGCGACGGGCGCGATCGCGCCGCTCATCGTGACCGGCCCCGCGCAGGCGTACCCGCCGGGCCTCGCGGTGGTGTCCGCGCCGCTCGGGGCGTGGGTCGAGCTGCCCGCGTAAATTAGCCGTCTCCCGCTGCATCGTCGTCCTCGTCGTCGTCGTCGTCGTCGTCGCTCTCGTTCATGCCGCCGTCCCAGAAGCTCGCGCGCGCCTGGCTCCGCGGGAGCATGACGACCGCGCCGAAGCGGTCCCGCACGCCGACGAGGTCCTCGTCGTCGCGCGTCGCGCGGGCGAGCTCCGCGGCCTGCGGCGACGGGAACCCCGCGGCGGCGTCGGCGCGCGCGTCCTCGGCGAGGCGCGCGAGGTCCGGCGCCGCGTAGGCCCAGTCCCAGGAGCAGAAGTTCAGCACGTAGAAGACCGTCTCCTTCGGGAGGCGCCACAACCCACCCTCGCCCGCGCGGGACCAGCAGCGGACGACCTCGAGCGCCACGCGCCGGAAGGTCCGCGGGAAGCGGCGGTGCGACGCGTCCGGGTTCCAGCAGAGCCAGCGCACGCCGTACTCCACTTTCCCGACGAACGCGCGGTGCGGCCGCCACGCGGGGCCGGGCCAGAACCCGCGGTCGCTGAAGGGCACGCTCGACGTGTGCGCGACGCCCGGCAGGATCTGGAGCGTCGCGTCCTCGTCCGTGACGTTCGCCGTGCGCGACGCGTAGACGACGGAGTCCGGCGCGCGGCCGCCCGCGGAGAACTCGCGCGCGCTGTGCACGTAGACGCGCGCGCGGCTCCCGCTCGCCACGCGGACGGGCGCCGCGAGGCGCAGTGGCGCGAGCTCGTCCGGCGAGGGCGCGTGGTCCGCGTCGTAGACCCGCCGCCACGCGCCCCCGTCGAAGCAGTGGACGGTCATGGGGCCGAGGTCGCCGCGGACGGACAGCGCGACGACCTCGACGTGCGCGACGGGCAGCAGCGCGCGGCAGCGCACGTCGAACATGATGCCCGAGAACGCGTGGTCCCGGTCGTTGGCCGTCGTCGATTCGTAGGTGATGCCGTACTGCGTCGACGTCGACGTGGCGCTGCGCTGCGGCGGCGTGAGCGCCGGCGCCGGCTCCGTCAAGGCGAGCTTGGCCGCGAGCCCGTTCGAGAGCGTCTGGGCGGCCATCGTCGGCACCTGCCGAGGTCTCGGTCAGCGCCAAAGGCTGCCGCTCCCGGCTCCAGCGGCGGCACCTGCCAAGGTCTCGGTCAGCGCCAAAGGCTGCCGCTCCAGCGGCGCGGCTTCGGTGTTGCGCCACGCTGTGGAGAAGCTGCCCAGGCTTTTAGCGACGTGCTAATTTGAACGTTTCATTGAACATTTGTGGCACTTCAGAGCTGCCCACCGCCAGCGTCGCGACGCCGGCGACCATGGCGGCGCGCGCGTCCGCGGCGCTCGCGCTCGTCGTCGCCGTGGCCCTGGCCGCCGACGTGCACGAGCAGTGCGAGGAGTGGGCCGTGGCCGGCGAGTGCGAGAAGAATCCATCCTACATGCTCACGAGCTGCAAGGACGCCTGCGCGGCGCACCACGTGGCCTCGTCCTTCTACGACCTCAAGGCGAAGACCGCCGCGGGCGCGACGTTGACGTTCGACGCCTTCAAGGGCAAGGTCGTCCTCCTGACGAACGTCGCGTCCGCGTGAGGCAAGACGGCGGCGCACGAAAAGAGTGATTCAACCTCGCTTCAACGTGAGTGTTCCGCGCGCGCGTTTCGGAAACAGCACCCACGCTTCGAGAGCGCTCCGAGAGATGATCGCTCGTCCAAAAATCAGCCGAAACGAGTGGAAAACGACCGAGATAGGAGCCTTTGAAGTTGGGAATTTCGCACCCTTTTTCCTGCCCAGGCAAGACGGCGGCGCACTACTCGCAGATGGTCGAGCTCCACGACGAGCTGGGACACGAGGGGCTGGAGATCCTGGCCTTCCCGTGCAACCAGTTCGGCAACCAGGAGCCGGCGACCTGCGAGGTCGTCGCCGAGTTCGCGAAGTCCGCGTACGGCGCGGACTTCACGATGATGGAGAAGGTCGCGGTGCACGGGCCGCGCGCGCACCCGGTCTACAACTTCCTGCGGGCGACGACGGGCGCGACGCCGTCCTGGAACTTCGGGGTCTACTTTGTGGTGTCGCGGTCCGGCGAGGTCAAGGCCTACCCGGACGTCGCGCCCGCGCAGCTCGCGGGCGTGCTCCGGGGCGAGCTCTAGGTTCACAACGAGGACGCTCGCGGCGCGGCCCCCGCGATGATGACGCGGCGCCCCCAGCCCGGCGGGGGCGCCGCCGACGACGCGGCGGGCGCGCTCCGGGAGGCCTCGGTGTTTTTTAATTTGAGACAAGTTCAACGTCAAGAAGCGAAGGAGCAGCCCGCCCTCAAAAGATGGACCGCACGCACTGAGGCAGCCCCATGTGGGACAACCTCGTCGACGCGTGCGGGCGCGGCGACGCCGACGACGAGGCGGCGCCCGTGCTCACGCCGCGCGAGGCGCGCGCCCCGAGCGACCCCGAGGCCGGGAGTTTCGACCGGCGCCTGTCCTTCTCCGAGGACGCGCTGCGCAAGTCGGACGACCAGGCGGACCCCACGCGGGCCCGCACGCCGTCGGCCAAGGACCAGCTCGAGGCGTCGCGGAGCCGCGGGCCGAGCGGCCACCGCCTCTCCTGGGACGACACGGGCGCGCCGCGGCCCTTCGTCCCCGACGAGAAGACGATCTTCCTCCACGCGACGGTGCTCTACGTGGGCGCCATCAACCTCAGCGACCAGTTGTTTTTCCTACGTTTCGATTTGTACGTGGCCTGGCACGAGGCGGCCCAGACGCCGTCCCGGGGCGCGGCGGCGGGCGCGCGCGCGGCCTTCGACCCGGACGTCCGGTTCCCGACCGCGCAGTCCTGGAGCGAGACGAGCCGCCTGCGTTTGAACGACGACGACGACGGCATCTTCGAGGGCATGCAGGGCTACCGCGCGACCGTCGAGGGCGAGTTCCGGGCAGGGCAGCAAAAGAAAGCGAAATTCCCAACTTCAAAGGCTCCTTTCTCGGCCATTTTCCACTCGTTTCGGCTGATTTTTGGACGAGCGATCATCTCTTGGAACGGTCTCGAAGCGTAGATGCTTTTTCCGGAACGCGCGTGCGCGGAACACCTACGTTGAATCGACGTTGAATCACCCTTTTGCTGCCCAGGTTCCGGGCCCACCTCGACCTCTCGTCGTTCCCCTTCGACTCGCAGGCGCTCCAGGTCGACGTGAACATGGGCGTGGACCGCGCGACGAGCCACCGCCTCATCTGCGCCGACGGCTGGCGCTTCGACCAGCACCCGGCGGCGGCGAACATGCTCCTGCACCCCCCCCTGTGTGGAAATCAACCACTGGTTTGGGTGGTCCTGACCAAACTTCAGAATTCTCTAGCTCGGTCACATCGAAGTCGATTCGGCTGATTTTTGGACGAATCGATTGCTCTCAGCGAGTTCTCGACGCACGGCGGAAGCGCTTGTGTCAAAACATTCGAATACGCGCACATTGAAGTCGGGGATTTGCACACAGGCACCAGGTCAACGCGGAGTACCACATCCGGCCCTTGCGCTACTACGTCATGCGGACGTCCGCGCTCGAGGACGCGCGGCCCTGCTCCAAGTACATCCTGGTCATCCCCGTGCAGCGGCGCACGCGCTACTACCTCGTGTCGCTCTTCCCGACGATGCTCGCGACGGTCCTCGTGAGCTTCGTCCAGTTCGAGGTCGAGCACGAGGCCATCGAGCCGCGGCTCATGGTGCCCCTCACGCTCGTCTTCGTCTTGATCGGCTACAAGTTCACGATCAACGACTCGCTGCCGAACCTGTCCTACATGACGCAGCTCGACGTCTACGTGCAGTTCGCGCTCTTCCACCTCTACTACCTCGTCGCCGCGGAGGGCCTCTGCTTCGCCGCGGTGCGCCGGGGCGTCGTCGCGACGCTGAAGCGGGCGCACCACATGGCCTGGTACGTCGCCGTCGCCTACGTCGTCGCGTTCCACCTCTACTACGTCGTCTCGACGCGCGCGTCGATGCGCTCGTCCGCGAAGGCGCTCGCGTCCATGGGCGTCATCGACGAGACGCTCATGGACCACCTCCTCGCCAACGGCGTGCGCTTCAACAAGGACGGCGTCGTCGAGAACCCGGCGCGCTACGAGGCCAAGCTCGCGCACGAGTTCTCCGCGAGCCACGGCGACCCGGACGCGTCGTCGCTCATGGCCGCGCGGACGCGCTACACGAAGAAGTCGGAGATGAGCGCCGCGGGGCCCAACGCCATCGCGAGCTCCATCACGAGCTCCGTGTCCCGCGTCCGGAAGCAGTTCCACGCGAAGCTCTCGAGCTCCTTCTCGTCCAACGAGCCCTCCGTCCGGCGGCCCTAGCCCGGCGCAATTCGCATATAGACACTCGGATTTCTTTCTTAGGGCGCGCCCGCGGCCCGCCGTCGCCGCGCGGCCTCTAGAGCATGAACTGGATGTCCGTGTTTGGCAGGCCGTCGCCCATGTAGACGGAGCCGTAGTTGCCCGTGCCGATCTGGTGGTAGAAGTAGGCGCCGGGCCAGTAGAAGGACCGGATGATGGCCATGGTGTTGGAGGGGTCGTAGTAGAGGGAGAAGGTGCCGGCCGGGACGTCGTCGGCGATGGGGTCGAGGAAGTCGCCCGCGCGGACGACGCCGGGCTTCTCGAGCGCCTTCTGCGCGCGCTCCGACTTCGGCGCGCGGAAGTGGAAGTAGCTCCGGAGCTGGCCCGCGGCCTCGTAGGCGAGGCCCTCGTAGGCGGGGTTTTTGATGACCTGGTGCGCCGCGTCGACGAGGTACGCGCCGCGGGGCACGACCGTCGCGTCGCCGTCGATGAGCGCGACGTGGTACGCGAGCTTGTGCTCCTCGCGGAAGACCTCGGGCTGGATCTCCTCGCCGTTCTCGTCGAGCACGGGCTCGGCGACCACCTCCTCCTCGCCCTCCTTGGGCGGGATGGGGTACGGCATCGACGGCTCGCCCGCGAAGGGCTTGGACACGAGCGTCGCCGCGTGCGCGGCGTACTCCTCGCTCAGGTCCGGCATCTGGCTCATCTTCTCGCTCTTGGCCGTCGTCGTGTAGTAGAACTTCTTCGAGGGAAAGGGGTAGCTCGGCGTCAGCGCGACGGCGACGAGGTAGTCGTCGTTCTTCCCCTTGATGCGCCCCCAGAAGGACAGCGACCCGAGGGGCAGGTTCTCGCTCTGCCGCACCTGCAGCATCGCGATGTCGAGCCCCGCGCGCTCGCTGATGCTCAGCCCGCTCCCCGACGGCGCGAGGAACTCCATCGTTTGGCTGGCGCCGCGAGCTAGCGCTGCCCTCGACGGCCCGGCGCAACTACCGCGCTGTTATCGCGCCAAGATACGACCGAGCCCAAGTTTACCTGGTGCACTCGATGTTTCTTCAATATAAACTTCATGG